AGAATACAATCATAAACACTATACGAAAATAGATCACAAAGTCGGCATTTTAATTAAAAAAAAACGGTCGGAGTTTTTTTTTTCTCATTATGCACTGCGTGCTCCAGGATTTTTTTTTATATGGTGCACACTGACCACACAGACCCATTCTCTCACACGTGGGCCTACCAGCTTTCTCCTCCTTGATTTGAAGCCGCTAGAATTTATGAGTATATATACGTCAAACACGGTACCTCGTAAGACGTATATATACGGCCATGACAGTCAAAGGGTTAATACCCATCTTCCACTTATACACTTCGATCATGTCTCCCCTCATTCTTCGTCTAACAAGAGAATGTAATTTAAGAGTCTTCAATCTTTCTTCATAAGGAAGATTTCTAATGCTATGTATTAATTTAGTCATTCTACGCTGAATGTTTTCTAACGAATTTATATCCATTCTGTAATATGGAGACCAGAACTGAGCTGCATAATCTAGGTGAGGCCTTACTAATGATGTATAAAGCTGCAGTATAACCTCTGACTTCTGTTGCTTACACTTCTTGATATAAATCCCAATAATCTATTTGCCTTATTACATACATTGATAAAAAGCTGACCTTTCAGAAACAGGCCAAGTATGTCAGATCCCATGCTCTACTCAGACTCAATGCCATGAGAGCCATGACGAGGCACCATGAAGGGGTGAGCAAAGAAGTACACCTACCATCCGACTTATGACCTGCTTGACATACAACCAACCGACTTATGACCGTGTTTTGTATGCCAAATTTCTGGGAAATAAACAACTGTTTGTGTTGTACACAGTGTTTATCCTAAACCTTACAGTATAAAATACAGTACTAACAGCATAAAAAGTAAAGTAAAAAATGAAATACCAAAATAAAACAATAAAATAAAGTCATTACAAAAATGTGATGTCGATATTCAGTAGTAAGGTTCAACTTATGTCCATTTTTTTTGACTTACAACCGGTTGGTCAGAACCAAGTTCGTTCATAAGTCGGATGGTACCTGTAATTTGCTTGTACTATATACAAGCTGTGCACTCACTCACTGACTACGGTGCATTGGTGTTGGCTCATCTCTTTCCGCAGAGCAGGCAAAGGGTGGAGGTCGTACAAAACCAGGTGATAAGAATTACACTTGGAGCCCCATCTGGACCAACACAGAATGTCTCAGATTTGAGGCCTGGCTTCCTTCCCTGGTTGACAGAGTAAGATATATACATGCCTGCAACGTAGCCACGATTCTGCACTGGCAGCAAGGTACCCCACTGAGAAGATGGATATTGGCGACCATGACACACGATCTAATTATCTTCACGGACTACTCCTGGACTTGTTCATTTTCTACTGCTGGGCGGAAGCTGCTGCCTATAAAACTACTCCTTGAGAAGAGTTGTGACTTTCCTGTTGCTGGGTATCATCCACCACCTCCCTGGCGCCCATATCCGGCCGATGTTTGCGTCATGCAACTACTTACCTCTAAGTGTGTCTGCAGTCAAGACACCCTCAGAAATCATGCTGAGACAAGCATGGCACTGGCAGAGGGATGCACATGTGCAGTGTATTTCACAGATGGTTCTGTCGACCCTGACAGGAAGAGAGCAGTAGCTGGCATGTACCACAATGGTCACACACAAGGTTGGTGACTCCCTGGCCACTGCACGATCCTTCAAGCTGAGCTGGTGGCGATTCAGCAGGCATTGTCACATGCCCTACGACATCAACTCCGATCTGTCATACATGTTGACTCCACCTCTGCAATCAATGCCCTCTCCCATCCCCAACCACAGGACAATGTTCACCTCATCACATCGATTCTCAGCATAATGACAGCCTTAGAAGTTCAGGGTAACAGATCAACATTGAACTGGATTCCCAGCCATGCTGGTATCCAGGAAAATGAGGCAGCAGATGATGCAGCCAAGGCAGCCACAGATTATCCACATGTTGGGATTACTGTCCCCATCAGCCTATGCCAGACCAAACTGGTGGCTGCCAGAGCAATGAAACTTATGGGGGAGGTCCTAAGTGATATCCCATTTCAACAGTGGTACCGAGTACCATATGATAGAAGCTGGTCCAGAGCACAGTGTACCACCTTCCACTGACTTCGTTTGGGCTTTCCCACAGCCAAGATGATGGTAGACAAGGCAGAGGAGATGTGCCAGCACCAGCACATTGTCCAGCGCCCCCTAACACACTATCTCATTGGGTACGGGAGTTATTTCTTGGGAAGCTTTAGGTAGTAGTCATTTTGATAAGGACCTGCCTCGCATGGGCCAGTAGGCCTTCTGCAGTGTTCCTCCATTCTTATGTTCTTATGTTCTTATCTCCTGGAGTACCAAGCTACTGAGACACTCCACAGGCAACTAGCACTGATGTCCCCTCCTAAAGAAGACCCAGAGAGGACTGCGGCTACACTAGTGTACCATGGAGTCAACGAACCAGACAAGCTGTTGCCCGTGATAACGACATCTCCTCACTAGTGTCTACAGTTAGGAGTGCATACGGCATTGTTGCTTATGAGATGCACCAGATGAACTGACCAGAACAGTGCTTGAGCAGCATACAATGCAACATTGCAGAACCATTTCTCCTTTTGGGAGCCAGAGACGGGTCATCACAAGATTAAGACCCGTGCCAGGACTCCGGTCTTGGCAAACATTATACATACACACATCTTTAAGACCCGTGCCAGGACTCCGGTCTTGGCAATCATTATACATACATACATCTCTCTGTATTAGGACTGAAGAAGCCACTTGTAGCTAAACATTTCCTTTAATAAATGTCCTGAACTGTACATAAGTTTCTTTTTGTACAGATTATTTATATCTGTCTCTTATAAAGTAATTATTTTTTTTTAACATACCAACTGTCTCCCTCCAAGGTAGGAGGAGCCAAAGGAGCAGAAACACTTTCACCATCACTGTCTCAAGAATATAAAAATTTATAAACATGGCAGCTGGCCTACTGGCCCATACTAGGCAGGTCCTTCTCAAACCCTACCTCTCCTAACTTATTTGTCCAACCTATTCCCAAAGCTATCCAAGAAGTTAGCTTCAGTACCTCAGGTCCTAAACATACTCAGCCCTTCTCCCTCGTATTTGTCTAATCTCTTTTTAACCCTTTCACTGTTGAGACCCCTGCTTGCAAACTTGCCCTCGAAGAATTTAAAAAAAAAAGAATTTTCGAAGAATTAAAAAAAATCTTGTGAAATGATAATCTTTTCTCAATGGTAATGAAACCACAAGTACAAAATTTGATGGAAAACATATGGAATTATGCTCTCGCAAATTTAGTGGTCTCAGCAATATTTAAGCATTGGTGATTTTGCCCACATTGAGCACTATTTTTGGCCAAATCTGTTGTTCCAGTTGACCAAACTCATAGCTATTTTGCTAGAACTCTTTTTTTTCTATCAACTGAGTACAAGAAACTGCCCATTTACCTATTTCAACTACCCAATAAAGTGATCAGAAATTGGCAATTTGGCCAGTTTCATACACAATTCAAGGAAGGCCAGTTTCAAAACAGAGTCCAGAATTAACAGTGCAAACATTCCTAGCACTAAAATAGCATTTTTTCTGTTCATTAGTCACATCTCCAGGCCCTTCTTATATTACACTTGCTTTCCATTTTGAATTTTTATTCGCACACTAATAGAAGATTTACTGTAATGCAGACTACTGCATTATTGTTAAAATGGTATAAATAATATAAGCGCATTTGTGAAAGCATATCAGACCCACTAGTTGATACGTATTGAACACGTGACATGATTTGTTTACTCTTGAACATCGACAAAAATAAAAAATTTCTGCTAGTGTGAGCTCAGTTTCAAGGTACTTTTAATCTGTAAACCATTCAAAATCATCTATATTTCTATGGTATATCTTCCATTTCATTAAATGAGACCAAGAAAATGAGAATACAACCATATATACTATACGAAAAAAAACACACAAAGTCGCTGTTTTAAACTGAAAACACAGTCGCAGTTTTTCTTTTCTCGTTATGTACTGCATGCTGCAGGATTTTTTTTTATACTGCACGCACTGACCACTCTGACCCAGTCTCTCATATGTAGGCCTATCAGCTATCTCCTGCAAGATTGGAAGCTGCTATAATTTTGGCGTAGCATTACGTGACCCACACTTGTTTGCAAGCTGTAATATTATGGGACCGACAGTGAAAGGGATTAAAGCTCCTCAAGGCTTCAGTTTCTAATGACTGTACTTGGCAGATTTTTCCACCCATCGAACAACAGTCCCCCCTCGTTGACAACAGAGTCAAGGTTGAAGACTTTTCAACACTCTTCCCTTCAGATACTAGAAGAAGTACCAACACAAGAACTTGACAAGCTCATACAAACTTCTATCTCAATTACACTGTGGTGTCTGAATCATTATTTTTTTTAACACACCGGCCATCTCCCACCGAGGAAAGATGACCCAAAAAAGAAGAAACACTTTCAGAAAGTTTTCTTTTTACATCTAAGTAATTTATACAGGAGAAGGGGTCCTAGTCCCTTGTTCTTGGCATTTTAATAATCTCTTATGACACATGTCTTAACCCGTAAACGGTCCAAACGTATATATACGTTTTCTTCACCATTTGAAAGTATGTAAAAAAAGTAGATCTTCTTTTTGTTTTTACATTTGAAAATGTGTAAAAAACTTTGATCTACTTTTTTTTTTTTTTTGTTATTTGAAAATATGCAAAAAAAGCGTAGATCTATTTTGTAGCACTACACATGTGAACGTAGACCTGCTTGGACCGTTTACGGGTTAAGGACGAAGAATTCTTCTCTACTTCCTCATGGAACTGAATAATTATTACTGTACGTAATATTGTAACTGATGGATACCCGAGGCCTGAACAAATTGCATTAAAATTGTAAAATAATATACACGTACATCAGAGTAGTCATAATTCATAAAGTATAAAAAATGATTTTGCTACACTCTTGCTTTAATTTGAACATTACCTCCAAATTTTCTATAATCCGTTCCTTCTCATGGATAGTAGACCTTAGATTTGATACATCAGGAATGAGAGCTGGGTTGTGCTTGGGATCCAGTGTCTTGATAACTGACTTGGCTTTACCCAGATATTTCTTGTAACGTTCCTCCATGGCTCCCATCTCGTTCTCCTTCTTTGCCAGACTCTCCTCCAGTGAGACAATCCTTTCACCTGAAACAACATGTATAACCTACTTAAAGAAGAATGTCTGAGTACCAGTAGTATTGTAAGAGACAGATTACAAAGGAATCTTTATTCATTTCACCATAAATTGATACTTATGCTTAATAAAACCAATTTTTGGTGAAATGTTGCACCAATCCAGACTTCTTTACACTCAGTTTACTATTATTCATTACAAGAAGTTATAAGAAAAGCTTGATACAGTGTAATTGTAATAGTAATTAATAAAGGTTAAACTTATTTTTTTTAATTATTAAAATGAAGTATGGCTGATAACACCATAAATTAAACTACAGTGCATTATTAGTTTTTTTTATTTACATATATCCATATTTATTTCCTAACACAGTGGGCCGCCACTTTTCATACCTCTGTCCACTGTGTTTCCGTTTACGTATTTGAGATTCATTTTTTTTATACCTATTTCCTCCTTTCACTTCAAAGGTTCCCAACTATTGTTGTGGTTCTACCTTTTTTTTTCATTTCTATCAGTCCAGTTTCTATTATTGAAGTATTAAAATATTCTCAGTTAACACCAAAAGCTTTTACACTGTGTGTATGTTCAGTTTACGCATGTATACTGAGTTCACATTTGTCTGGTAGAGATTGGTCAAGAACAATAGATTTTGTATATATGTTTTTATTAAGGTTGAATTATTATTTTTTCCTTTGGTAGTTTTTAACCAAATGCATTCATACATTACGTATGTTCATCCTATCTAGGTACATACACATACAGTGGACCCCCGGTTTACGATATTATTTCATTCCAGAAGTATGTTTAGGTGCCATTACTGAACGAATTTGTTCCCATAAGGAATATTGTGAATTAGATTAGTCAATTTCAGACCCCCAAACATACACGTACAAATGCACTTACATAAATACACTTACATAATTGGTCGCATTGGGAGCTGATTGTAAACCGGGGGTCCACTGTATAAAGCTCTCAGTTATTTGGTAGAGGTAAGTCAAGAAAGTATAGTAGTACCAACACTCTTATATGGATGTGAAGCTTGGGTGGTAAATGCAGCAGCGAGGAGACGGTTGGAGGCAGTGGAGATGTCCTGTCTAAGGGCAATGTGTGGTGTAAATATTATGCAGAAAATTCGGAGTGTGGAAATTAGGAGAAGGTGTGGAGTTAATAAAAGCATTAGTCAGAGGGCAGAAGATAAGATAAGATAAGATTTCGTTCGGATTTTTAACCCCGGGGGGTTAGCCACCCAGGATAACCCAAGAAAGTCAGTGCGTCATCAAGGACTGTCTAACTTATTTCCATTGGGGTCCTTAATCTTGTCCCCCAGGATGCGACCCACACCAGTCGACTAACACCCAGGTACCTATTTGCTGCTAGGTGAACAGGACAACAGGTGTAAGGAAACGTGTCGAAATATTTCTACCCGCCGGGAATCGAACCCGGGCCCTCTGTGTGTGAAGCGGGAGCTTTAGCCACCAGGCCACCGGGCCTGGTGGTTTGGTCATTTAGAGAGAATGGATCAAAGTAGAATGACATGGAAAGCATATAAATCTAAAGGGGAAGGAAAGAGGGGTAGGGGTCGTCCTCGAAAGGGTTGGAAAGAGGGGGTAAAGGAGGTTTTGTGGGCGAGGGGCTTGGACTTCCAGCAAGCGTGCATGAGCGTGTTAGATAGGAGTGAATGGAGACGAATGATACTTGGGACCTGACGATCTGTTGGAGTGTGAGCAGGGTAATATTTAGTGAAGGGATTCAGGGAAACCGGTTATTTTCTTATAGTCGGACTTGAGTCCTGGAAATGGGAAGTACAATGCCTGCACTTTAAAGGAGGGGTTTGGGATATTGGCAGTTTGGAGGGATATGTTGTGTATCTTTATATGTATATGCTTCTAAACTGTTGTATTCTGAGCACCTCTGCAAAAGCAGTGATAATGTGCGAGTGTGGTGAAAGTGTTAAATGATGATGAAAGTATTTTCTTTTTGGGGATTTTCTTTCTTTTTTTTGGGTCACCCTGCCTCGGTGGGAGACGACCAACTTGTTGAAAAAAAAAAAAAAAAAAAAAAAAGTCAAGAGCCATATTTAATATGTACATAATTTAAAACTATGAGTGTAGAAGTTTACATCCTGCCACTGAAGTGTCTTGTTACTGATGGTACACAATACCAACAAGTTGATCAATAAGACATTTGCAACACCTGGGTATGTTCAGTGCCAACTTGTTCGTATTTTGTACCATAAATACTTGTCTGACACAGAAACACCATGTTGTCTTGGTATAGTTGAAGTCTTCTGCCATTTCTTTGCCAAACAACTGTTCAGCATGACCTCCTTCAAACCACAATAAGAGCGGAGATTGAACTTGCAGCAAGTGAGTCGTAAAACTCCAGACAGATGCGTAAGCCACTCGGCCAGCTGGATACAATAAAATTCATACGACTAGGTATATTTATACACCAACGGAAGGTTAGCATAGGCACCACTGACCACAAATGCGAGTTTTTATAGATGACTCTCCAAAACTACATATCTGTACAGTTTTGTACTTTATTGTGCACCCCATAGTACAAGATATAGATAAAAGTGCAGCAGCACATGGAAGAAGAAAAATAAGAGGAACATTGAAGAAGTACAAAAGAAGTTCATTGTAAAGGGGTTAGTGATGCATCTCAGCATCAAGCAATCTCCGAGACTATATACAGTGGACCCCCGCATAACGATGGCATCACATAGCGATTTTTCCGCATACCGATTACTTTTATCGCAAAATTTTTGCCGCGCATACTGATTAAAAACCCGCTTACCGATTTTCGTCCGAGACGCGTCCAATGTGCCCTCAGCCAGCCTCACATGTGCCGGCCGTCCCATTGTTTACCAGCCAGCCTCCGCGGTAACATCCAAGCATACACTCGGAATATTTCGTATTATTACAGTGTTTTCGGTGCTGTTTCTGGAAAATAAGTGACCATGGGCCCCAAGAAAGCTTCTAGTGCCAACCCTGTTGGTAAAAAGGGTGAGAATTAGTATGGAAATTAAGAAAGATTTTGAAGGGTTTGGGGCAAACCCCTGAGAAGCCTATGCCAGTTGTGGAATCCATTGTGCCTACTTCAAAGATTAAGGAAATGTGTGCACAGTGGGTTGAACTGCAAACCTTTATAGATGAAAATCACCCTGACACAGCTGTTGCAAGCCGTGCTGGTGACTATTTCAATGACAATGTTGTGGCCCATTTTGGGACAAATCGTAAAGGAACGGGAGGTACAGAGCTCTATGGACAGATTTGTTGTGCGACAGAGGTCCAGTGACTCTCAAGCTGGTCCTAGTGGCATTAAAAGAAGAAGGGAAGTAACCCCGGAAAAGGACTTGCTACCTCAAGTCGTAATGGAAGGGGATTCCCCTTCTAAACAGTAAGAAGATAATGCTCTCCCCTCCTCCCATCCCATCAATCATCACCAGATCTTCAATAAAAGTAAGTGTCATGTAATTGTGCATGCCTTTTTCAGTTTGTGTGTATTAAAATTAACATTTCATGTGGTAAAAAAAATTTTTTTTCATACTTTTGGGCGTCTTGCACGGATTAATTTTATTTCCATTATTTCTTATGGGGAAAATTCATTCGCATAACGATTATTTCGCATAACAATTATCCCTCTTGCACGGATTAAAATCGTTAACCGGGGGTCCACTGTATTTCATCTATAAATTTGTACTTTATTGTGCACCCCATAGTACAAGATATAGTTAGAAGTGCAGCAGCATTTGGAAGAGGAAAAACAAGAGGAAAATAGAAGTACAAAAGAAGTTCACAGTAAAGGGATTAGCTGGTGTGTTAACATTCTTTGTGTCTCGAGGCAGCTTAAGAAATTATTGAACTCAGTGAACAAAGTATGTCGATGGTAATAATAATAATTATAATCATAATAATTAATAATCATTAATAATAATCACTCTGGAGTGCTTTAACCCTTTCAGGGTCCAGAGGCAAAATTTCAAGGGGTGCCCCCAGTGTCCAAGAAATTTTGAAAAAAAAAAAAAAAAAAAAAAAAAAAAAAATCTTACAGAATTAAAGATAATATTTTTGTGAAGGTAATAAAACAAAAAATAAAAAAATTCTGATCAGTACTTACCGAGATACAGAGACAGGAAGTTGACCCAAAATGAGCGGGTGGCGGCAACATCAGCGACTTCCGCAAAATTGCATTTCTTTATTTTACGTTTTTTATACTTTTTTCTTTTCTAATTTTTCCTTTTTCTAGTAACATTTGTGGCCTGTGAGACCAATACTGTATATAATGTACAGTGGAACCTCTACTTGCGAGTTTAATCCGTTCCATGACCTTGCTCGCAACTGGATTTGCTCATTTGCAGAGCAAATAATTTCGCTAATATCAACTCTACAGCTTATTTATCTATCTCACTTCATCTAATATGACATAATAAACAATATAAATAACATACAAACCTGATATATACTCTAAAATGAATAAAATATGTCATTCATGTGGTAGTATGGACGGTGCCAGCGGTGGACGAGAGTTTGTCTGGAGACCGATGAAAATACTTGATGAATAATTTTGCTAATATCATCTATACGGCTTATTTATATATCACAGTTCATCTAATATGACATAACAAACAATAAAATTAACATAGAACCATGATATATACTCTAGAATGAATAAAATATGTCATTATGTAACAGGTTATGGTAAACACTGCCATCTAGTGACGGCCTTTTGAAGCCATCTATTATAATTGCTATATGTAGCACATTATTATTATACACCTACCATCCGACTTACGACCGAGTTCGGTTCCGAGAAACCGGTCGTAAGTCGAAATGGTTGTAAGTCGAACTTTACTACTGAATATCAACAAAACATTTTTGTAATGACTATTTTATTGTTTTATTTTGGTATTTCATGTTTTACTTTACTTTTTTATGCTGTTAGTACTGTATTTTATACTGTAAGGTTTAGGATAAACACTGTGTACAACACAAATAGTTGTTTATTT